CCTGTCCCCGGGCAGGAATAAGCCTGTTGGGCCGCCAGCCGGGGGATTCCCTTCTGCCCAGTGGAAAGTGGCACGCGCTCCCTCTCCCTCTTCCCCCCCCCCCTTTCCGCCTTCTTCTAGGGCAGCATCCAGTCTGGAGGGACTCCCGTACGAAATGGCTTGGTGGGGGTGACCGCAGAGCACCCCACCCACAGGGGCACCAACGTGGGGAAGTCTTGAATGTCCAGCTACTCACTCCTGGGGACGGACTGACCAACGGCTAAGCAGGGGGGAGGAGCTGCCCTAACAAGGGGCGGGCGGGAGGGCGGAGGAAACCCTCTAAGCCCCCGAAGATGCTCTTTCATGAAAGCAGCCACAGCCCTTGATTTGAAACAGAAGACAGGAAGTAAATGAATGTAAGATGTGAGCGCTACAGTGGAGTAGATGGAAAAATGCAGTTAATTGGCAATAAACTATTCTTTGAGACAAACAAAGGACATTTGAAACATCTTAGCATCCCTGTGGAGCGCCCACAAGCCTGCTCCTCCTGCCCTGGTTCCCATTACCCGCCCCACCAAGCCTCCTGTCGATCGCCTTGGGCTCTTAAGGGCTCCCCCTTCGCCATGGTTCCTAAACGCCTCGCCAGGGCAAAAGGGATCCCTCGGAACAGGGGAGGGGAACAATGGGCTTTTAAGGAGAGAGAGAGAGAGAAGCCCGAGGAGGCTGAGGGCGTCCTCGGCCTTGGGTGGGTGCAGCTCCACCAGGTGGGTTCTCTCCCCCCCCCGGGGCTGCAAGCAGGCGCCTGGGTGTTCCCGCTGACCACCGGCTGGGTACCCTCCATTCTTACATGTCCATCCTTAGAGGACACCCACCCACGAGTCCCGTCAGAGGACTTGTCATCAGTTACCTCGGAAGAGAACCTTCGACTCTCCCACTGACCATTTCCTTTCAGCGCACCTTGTTCTGGTTTGGGAGCCGCTCGGTTTACATCTCGTGGCAGGTACCACGTAAGCGCAGACCACGCGTCGGGATGTCTTGCTTCCCACCCGACGTCGGGCCTGCCTAGACAGATGCGGGGTGGAGACCCGTCTTCGGCTCGCGGTGCCCACCTCCAGGCTCGACCCAAAGGGGGTTCCTCGCCCCCGGTTCCCACTCCGACCGACCCGCCTTGCCCCTTCCAGAGCGGCCCGCTCCTTCCTGGCACAGCGGAGGAGGGGGCTTCCCTTTCTTCGGCACAATTTGTCCCGTTGGGTTGCCTGGGGGGGGATGGATGGAGGGCTGGGATCCGAACCGAGCGGAGCGGCGGGGGTGGCGTCCTCCTTATCAGAGGTGACAAACCCACGACGAGGCAGGAGGTGGGTGGTGGCGTTAAAAGGGAGGACAGAGAAACCCCCTCCTCTATTTTTCTCCTCTTCTATTTTTAATATTTCCCTAACCGAGGGGCCAAGCTGAGAGGCACTGCCATTTCGAGGAGCCACTTCCTTTTTCGAAAAACAAACCCAGAAGAAAGGAAGGCGCAGCAGCA